TGTCCCGCTCAGGACCGATGACACCCTTCTGTCATGGAGCTTTGCTCTGATGGTTAAACAGGCTGTCTAGGCATAAATAAAGCAAAGTGACATCTCCTTTCAGGACAATGTACAGGTAGATGTGACCCAGATAAGGCATGACAGCCGTGTCACATTGGCCCTACCTAATTCAACAACAGTGACAGTTTAACAGAGAAACAGACACTATAAATGAGCACAAACCGCCTTTACTGAGTAGTAAGCAAAACCGAACAAACATGAGTTTTTCAGACACCCCTTTCTAAACTTTTGACTTCTCTGGATCTCAGAAACAACAAAATAAAACCTCTAATTCTTAAAATCATATACTGAAATGTGGCTGACGATTCACACTAACACTTAACGTTTTCTCACCTTACATCCCTCACAGGCGTGAACGCCGTAGTGAAATCCTGACGCCACATCTCCACACACTTTACATAGCAGCACCAGCCCATTAATCTCTGCAGGAGCGGAAATACAGAGGGTCAGATGAACAAGGAATGCTCTGCGCTCCGATTGGCTTTCTCCTTCTGTTTCCTCAAACAGCTAGAAAACCATTACTACATGATCAAGCTCACAAGGACAAATATAATGAATCTTGCCATGTTAATTGACAAATATCAGCTCATTGCATCATTATTATGATTAATGTGACCAATCTACAATACTTTTTTTTTTTCTATTTCTGTTCCATTTTGAACTCCCTGACATATCCAACTGCATAAAAAAAATAACATAGGGAATGTGAATACATGTACATTAGGGTAAACATGAGAAAGCATATTTTTGACATGCTTATTACATAATAATTAACACTATGACAACAGAAATGTGAAAAATTAAACATATTCATATAGTTCCTTAAAATATTGTTACATTTGTAGATGATCAGTCTTTAAGAACTTTAAGAACACTCCACAGATTCCTTTATTTCATTTAGATCAGTCTCTCACTTGTAATGCCGCTTTTGGCGGTGGAGGGCGATCGTGTCTTCCATGGGAGGAACTGAGGGGCCACAGCGAGGGGCTCGCCCTGTTGGCCCTGGCCCGCGTGGGGCGGAGAGCAGGACTGATAGCTGCTGTTGGAGGAGTCGCTGTGGCACGACTCGGGACTGGAGGCCGAGCTCGCGGAGCTAATGTAAGCTATCACTCCACCTGCTGGATGACACACAGAAGAGCAACAAATGTCAAATGACTTTTCAGACTTCATTTTCCAAATCACGTGGACCCTAATATGCGGATATAAATTATGAAGCATATGAGGACGAGACATGGCCTAGAGGTTGATTCCAGCTTTTTCATGCATCTGTTGACAACTCTGTTTATCATTAATAATAGAAACAAATATATACACAGTAAATGCAAACCATATAGGTATTACAAACATCATATTTGCCCCTATGTTTTATTTTAAGCTGTAGCCAGTCTTATTGTCAGAAAGTGGACCAGGCTGTAATGTATCTCTCTCTGTACGGGTTGACCTGATTTCTGCTGCCCCACTCTCAATGGTTAGGTAACACCGTTACATAATACCTCTTTCAGGGTGTAGGCCTTACCGGCAAACAATTAAACTCAAATGAAATACTGAGAACAAACAAACAACTTTTTTTCACACGTTAACATGCTATTATTTGTTAATTGTTACAAAGATAAAAAATATATAATTAAATAAGCACATGCTCATGAGTCAAATAGAAGGAAACTATATATATATATATATATATATAGCTAATGAGGCTCAGGGTGCATAATTTTTCTTCCTTTATCCAAATCCTATTATAAAATTAAATAAATAAATAAATAATGTAAATGAAAGTAAATCCCAATGCCATTTTTCAAGTCAGTTCAACTATTTAGTTTATATTTAATTTTGTGTCGCTGAGCTGTTGATTGGCGTGTTCTTAGCCCCGCCCCCACGTGTACGCGGCATGTCTTGGGGGCGTGGTTGGATCCACATCTAGGATCGGTGGGTTTAGGGATATGTAATGTGGGAGGAGTTGGCTCTGGATCCAACCACGCCCCATGGATCTTGTGTTCTTCCTTGAGGACCATCTCGGAAAGTGGGTCAGACCGCGGCCGCATCCATACCGCCATGCAAATTATGCAACACGCACGTCACGACTTCTCTCGACCAATCAGAGCAGACGCACAGGACGCGTAAACACAGACGCACATGGCTAGGCTGAGCGGTCCATGTGAGTCGGGAGACTGTAACCCACAATCTATGGCATAACAACACAAGCCTGGCGCTGTTAACCTACTTACAGTTCTCCTGCTGAAAATAAAGCAATAAAAACCCAAACCACACCTCAATGCACAGTAAACATTCGCGGCATCACGCGCAACTACGTTTCGGTGTCATTTATTAAAACAAGACTACACTGAAGATATCACCGCTTATACAGTCATATTCAGAAGTAAATGTAAACCATACTGATCTTACCAGCCTTTGTGAAATCCATGTCCTCCGACAGCTTAGAGCCGCAGTCAGCTGTGTGTTTGTGCCGTTTTTACTCCGTTTACAGCAACTCTCTAGTCGCTGTGTGATCTTTCCACCTACACACTACCTGAGGAGCATTTCTAACACACCTACCAGAGAGTCCGAATTACTTAGCGCCGCTTTGCTTGGATAAAAACACCCTCGGGTTATCACAGAAAAAAATATAAATGAATTCAAACGCTATAATAAAACCCGGAGCGGCTAGAGACCACATCCACACGACCTCGCGTCTATTGCAGGCTCTCTGGTCGACTGGACTTGCTGTAGCTCGGAGTTGTGGATAAACGCAGGGTTAACGCAGAGAGCGGAGCTGCAGATCACGTGACCCGCTTCAGGGCGGCTCCGCCCCCAGCTGCATTAGTGTCGGTATAACCCACTGACACACTTTCACTGCTCCTGCGGGGCCTCCTGTGCCCCTCAGCCCACACCCGGAGCGCCCTGGTGACCCCATGCCCTGCCAACTAACCTCTCAGTACATCAAAGGGACGTTTTGCTGGCCAGTAGCCTATTTATAGAAATGTGGTGTTTGCTGTGCACCCCAAGTTGAAACGAGATTTACACTTAAGCTGATTTAGCATTAATCAGTTGGTAACCTTATGGGGTGAAAAAAAATCGAATATTCAAAATTTTAGGTTTTAAATTTAGTCTTGTTTTTAGAACCATTAAAACGTGTATTCTCATTACTATAAAATGTGACCCTGGACCACAAAACCATAAGGGTCAGATTTATAGCATAAAAGGAAAATGGATCATTTTGACCCATACAATGTATTGTTGGCTATTGCTACAAATATACTCATGCTGCTTATGACTAATATTGAATAATATTGAGAATAGTGAATTACAGAGAGTTGTGCTTATCTGTCATGGAAATAATGTCCCATTGCAACCACTGGTAATAAACTTTGAAGAGGCTTTGTTTTTAGGCAAAATATATATTTTGGGGTGTTATGTGACTTCGATATGTTTGAACTATGATCAGGTAAGTCACTGGACGGACATACATACATGCATGCATTCATAAATATATACATAAATCAATCAATCAATCAATCATTTTTGACATGACTTCTTGATTGCTATTGAACAATTTGATTTTTGAACTATTCCTTTATATTAAATCTCTACATATCTACACATCACTTTAAGTAATGAAGGACAGAAGGGGTAAACCTTACTATAAATATGAGTCCAAAGGAGATGTATTTCTAACACATTATTGATTAGTATTAAATTGGCATCTATTGCTGATTCAGTAATGTCACGTTAGGGCCCAAAGATCAATAATGGTGCCTGGTTCTCACACCAAACACTGCTTAGCTTTTCCATTCAAGGCTCCGGCCACAGAGGTCAGGGGTCAGGGGTCAGAGGTCAGGGTGTTAGGACCTACGGCTAAATACGTTAGGACAAAAATGAAATTTCAAGGCTAGAGACGCCACAAGGAAGAGTTTAAAAGTTTCACCGGCTCTTCCTGAACTCAGACAACGGCCTTCAAATATGAACGTTTAGTGTTGGGTTCATAAGAGTGATCAGCTGACACTCATCATTACTAGACTCACCGTGCAGAGCAATGAACTAGCTACAGAATGTTATGTACTAAACATTTCTGAATGTTGTTCAATTAGATAAAAATATCAAGAGTCAATTATTTTAAAGAAAGATAACAATTCTCAAGAAGTTGTAAGGTTTAAAGTGATGAAATAATAGAAAATTAGTGCTGCAAATGAAGATAGAAAGAATCATGATGACACTTTGCATTACTCTGTTACATACTCCACTGGGACACCTGTGTTAAAAGCTTTTTCCGCTGATAAATTAGATGTGCAATTTATATTCTGTGCAACTGTCATTAAAATGCTCTCCATTCCACTTTGCATCATGCATATAGGATGGAGTAACATTTACAGTATATCACCGAGTGTGTGTGTGTGTGTTCAGCAGTCACACAAAGCATTTGAACTGATGCTGTCTGTCACACACACTCACTCACACTCTCTCACACACCCACACACACTCAATAACACACTCTCTCTCTCTCTCTCTCTCTCTCTCTCTCTCTCACACACACACACACACCCACACACCCACACACACACTCAATAACATTCTCTCTCACACCCACACCCACACACACTCTCTCTCTCACACACACACTCAATAACATTCTCTCTCTCTCACACACACACACTCACTAACACTCTCTCTCTCACACACACACACCCACACTCACTAACACTCTCTCTCTCACACACACACACCCACACTCACTAACACTCTCTCTCTCACACACACACACCCACACTCACTAACACTCTCTCTCTCACACACACACACCCACACTCACTAACACTCTCTCTCTCACACACACACACACACACACACACACACACACACACACATACACTAACACTCTCACACACACACACTAACACTCTCTCTCTCTCTCACACACACACACACTCTCTCTCTCACACACACAC